CAGCTCCCAATAATAAACCAGAGGACTCTGAACCTATGCAATTGGGAGCAGCTCGGCCCCGCCTCAGCCCTGAGGAAAAGACACGACGCCGCTCCCAGAATCTTTGTCTGTATTGTGGGGAAGCAGAACACTATGCTTCGGGCTGCATGGCTAAGCGGCGTAACCTCGACTCTGTGAAGCCGTTAAAAGGATTGCTGCACGTCTATGTGGGGCATTTAGCTGAGTCCCCTGAACCCTATCCTAACATCCCAGGACCATTCCTTGTACCCATTAAACTTTGACTGCCGGATGGACATTGGTTGTTCATTCACGCCATGGTCGACTCTGGGGCGGATCGCTGTTTTATCGACACCGCTTTTGTAAAACAGCACCGGATCCCTGTACAGGATAAAGAAACTCCGACCCTAGTCGAATCCATAGATGGACGTCTCCTTCGTTCTGGTCCTGTGACCCAAGAAACCCAACCGGTCACCCTCCGGGTGCAACAACATCAGGAACAGCTACAATTTAACATTGCCCGTATGCCCCGTTTCCCACTTATTTTGGGACTTTCCTGGCTCAGAACCCATAATCCCCTAATGGACTGGACACAAGGGGAGTTAAGTTTCAGGGATCCATGTCCGCATCTGGATATACCAGCTACCTTGGCCGCAGCAGGATCAGCAGATAAGTCCGCAATACCCCTGGAGTATGAGGACTTTGCTGATGTCTTTGAAGAGAAGGGGGCTGACCAGCTACCTCTGCACCGACCCTTTGACTGTGCTATTAATTTGGTGTCGGGGGCACTCCTCCCTGTGGCACGGATCTATCCCATGTCAGAACCTGAACTCGTAGCTTTGAGGGCCTTTCTGGATAAAAACCTGAAAAGGGGGTTCATCCGGCCATCCACGTCACCTCTGTCTGATCCTGTCATCTTTGTCAAAAAGAAGGGTGGGGAGCTTCGCCCCTGCAATGACTACAGGGCTTTAAAAATGACTACTGAAATATTCATCTTTCCAAGAAAACTCAAAAGCAGCCTCTGTAAAAATTACGTTGTAGATGTGGCAAATTTTTGTTTTAATGCATTTTTTAACTCTAAAAGGGCTACTGTATCAAACCTAAATAAACTTGAAACCTGATAAGCTGAGTGATATGTCAATGATGCTGGTGGGGGTCAAAATTTTCAAATAAAAATGGCAGATACATAAGAGTACAGCCTTCCTTGTGGCAACATTGTGGAGTTTTCTTGACCTGGAATACTGCTCCCAAAACATCGTCAGACGATATTTTGGCATTTCTTTGGCTCATGTACTAATTGAAGGTTCATGTTACAGGATTCCTGGTTTGTACTGTATTTGTAATGGCTTCCCCTCTTTTTTCAGTGACATCCTTACCTCCTGTAAGGGTCGACCTAAATGAGAAGGTGAAGTATTTAATAACCCAATGCTGGTGAAGACAAAAGTTGGTTATGCTACTCCAGCACTAGTCAGACAGAAAATGGCAAGGCCTCCAATTGAAGGCTGTTCCTGACATGCAGTAGGCGGGTGGTATGTGCCTTTTGCAATTATGCTTGAAAGCATGAAAGAAAAGTAGAGTCGTGCCCCGCTTTACACTTACCCCGAATTACAACGAATTCGCTTAACATTGAAGGTTTTGTGATTGCAAAATGTTTTAAATGGGGGGATTTCGCTGCGCAATGATCGGTTCCCTCTTTCGGGAACCGATTTTTGCTTCCCAACGATCAAAACAGCTGATCGTTGGGTTTTCAAAATGGCCGCCGGGTGAACAAAATGGCTCCCTGCTGTGTTTAGGAGCCATTTTTGGCTGCACAGGCCCCCGAAAATGGCCGCCCCTATGGAGGATCTTCGCTGGACGGTGAGTTTTTAGCCGATTGGAACGCATTAACCGGGTTTTAATGCGTTTCAATGGCTTTTTTATTTTCACTTTACAACGTTTTCGTTCTACAGCGATTTCACTGGAACAAATTAAAATCATAATGCGAGGCACCACTGTATAAACTAAAGCTAGTACAACAAACCAACATGGGTCCATCTGGAGGTTATTACAAGATCACTCACATTGAAGTTCAATGGTATAATTTCCTTCCCCTGTGAATGTAAGTGGAGAAATAAAATCCTCTCTCCAACCCCAGGATATATAAGTGGTAGCATTTATGGGCCTACACAATCAATATTTTTGGACCAGACAACAGGAATACACATTTCTCTTTGCATAACCATCTCTCACACATAATTTCTCTTCCCTCACTGTTGCTCAATACATTTAGAAAGACCCTAAAGTAGTTGTATAAACTAAAACAAAGTCCAGCAGATACCTAGTCAAAAAGATATTGGAGAAAGGGAATTGCCATTTTGTTAATAAGATGAGGAAACTGCTTCACATAAGGGGAAAATAATTGTGCAAATTGCCATGGTAAGCCCAGGAAGAGGGGGGAAAAACTATTAAAAGGGCAAATATCCCTGTGTCAGCTCATGAGGTAATGCCATTGCCAAAAGGTGAAAGAGCCCTTGGAGTCATCACAAGAAATAGCTTTTAAAAATTAAAGAACAATCAAGACTTGTAATTTGTAAAGGATTTAAAACTAGACACAGGACTGATATAAGCTGAGGCTGGGGCAACGAATCATTTGGACATACTGTACAGAATTTCTTCACTATACAGTAGTCACCATGCACCCAATGGATCTTTGTTTATGTGATTATAGACACCCCATTAAAATTGCATTTGTGTGTTTGCAGATTTCTTTGCAAAGAAAAAGAGCAAATAAAGGAAGTAAGGTTACTCATTCACCAGTCATTCTCTACTCCTCATCTCAAGTGTTTAAGCCTCCTTCATATAAACGAAGGGGCTCCAAACTACATCTGGCTTGCCTTTCCTTTTTATCCGGCTGCAATCCGAACATTGCAGGTTAAGGTCCACAGGCTCATGTCCGTACCCTTCCATTCCCGTGTGCACGCACACGTGTTTCTTCAAGCCCTCAAAAATGTGAAAAATATCATGCTGAAGTTTACCCTCAATATAAGCAGAACAAGAACCCACTCTCAAAATTAAAGATTATCAAACAAGAATGTTACTAGTAACAAATGTTATTTCCTTATGTGAACAGAAAAACTTCTATTTAGAAGATAAACATTCTCAATGGTACAGTGAAGGAACTGTCAAAGGGTGTAATTTTCTGACCCAAACAGCAATCCAAGTTTCTTTTAAAAGATCCTTCAAGTATGTATCTCCTTTGGTATGCTTTCATTTTTAAAAAACTGAAGTATATTCAAGAAGAGTATCAATGATTTTGTGTTTGAACTCAGTTATTACATATATTTTGACAAAAAGAAGAAGAACAGGGAGGCTTGTTAGAGGAGACTGGCCAACAGCAAGGGGAAAACAGGTGACGCTGGAGGATGTAACAGCTGCCAAATCTGTGAACTCTAAGCAAACTTATAAACTCATTACATTTGCACTTTGTTATCTTGGAGTCTTTTTAATTATCACCATCACTTAAGACTATATTTTCTTTTAATTTTTAATTTTATTTTTGTTAAATATACCTCTGCAGGGCACAATCACATACAATCAATACGATTGGTAAATTACATGAGCTCTATCCCAAGCATATATGCACCAAAATGTCAAAAAAGTTATTAAAAAAATGAACTCCACCCAAAAAGGTGATAATGACTTAAGAATGTCTCGGGGAGACTGGTACAATCCTAAAAAGCCCAAAGGAAACTTGGCTTAACCCCACCCCCACCCCCGAACCATAAAGAATGCACACACGTACAGAGAAATCCCACAACTGGAAACAGCCAGGGGATTCTGGGAGGGAGACACGAGTGGGATTTGATGAGGAGCAAAATTTAGATTGCTGGCTGCCAGTCCTTGAAAATTAATAAAAATGCCACCATGCTGCTGATAAGGTCGCCTTCAGGGAAAAGGGTACATGGTTAGCAAAAAGGCTGCTTACATAGCAAGCAGAAACTGCAAGGCAATTGTAAACTCACAATAGGCAGCAGATAATCCCTTTTTGGGTTTGTACAGAGCTTGAAACTGAAACCTGTAAAGATAGCTAGCAAAACAGGTTGCATTAATAGTGAGACTGCCTATCTTACTCCCTACCCCAGCCATCTTCTCTACTGCTAAGCTTGGAAAGAGCTCCCTCTGCAAATTCAGTTGTGGGATTCCGATCCAGTTACATAATCTGGTTTTGGATGCCAAAGACTTGTGAGTATTGTCTGCCACAACAAACTAACATTAACAACAAGAGGGCACAGAGATGATCTTCCTGCACACATCCCACATATTCAATGGGACTTGTGTGGAAGCCATTCCCACTTACAGTTGTGCCCAAAGTCACTTTAACATACACAAAAGCAAACAAATTTTGTTTATAGCAAACACCAAATACTCCACAGGATTTTTTTTTATAAAAGATATGTATACATGTAACATCAGCATGTCTAATACTTTTATTTTCAAAAAGAAATTGCATTTAAGCATTACATTTTTTTTTCTTTTGGAAAAATCCTCCCAAACTTTGACTTTTTTTCTCCTACAAAATTATATACTTTTTGTATGTGGAAAAAAGCACCAGGCAGTCAAAAGTATGCATGTTATTCAGATACCAGTGATCACTGCCAGTCTTCAGAACAAAAGCTACCTAGACTTCAAATGGTACCTGCTGATAGTACTGAACTCTTAAAAATATCATCACAATAGAATCTGGGAGAGTTTGCTGCCTCTCAAAATACCAAAGAGAAGTAAAAATACCACTACTTTATCCATTACATTTAATTAAAACACCAAGAATCCATTTCTGTATCCAACACAATGTACACCACATAAACTCCAATGCAGCCAGGAAGGAGAGGGGGCAACTCTCCTTCATGAATTATTTTGGACATCACCAATATGACCCTTTTCAGCTTTTTTTCCTTTTCTTTTTTATGTACAGGACAGTCTCTGGGTTGATCAGGTAAAACTGAAATAAATCAGGGCTATTTCTCAATTTTTAATTATTACCCTGATGTGTACTGAAACACAGATTATTTTTCTTGAGTTGAACAGCTGCTGCATGTTCAAAGTGAAGTCCAAAGAGCTAAAGATCAGCCTATGAACGAGGTTAACAGTGAATCTGAAGGAGTACTTTTTCCAGTGCTCTGTGGGTTACTTTCCACAAACTAAAAAAGAGGTCATTCTGCACTCTCCAAAATATTTAGTTAACTACCATTAACATCCCACAATTCCATAATTTCCTATTAAGCAGTTCAGTGCTTTGTCCAAATTATATGTGTGGTTCATCTTGATGAATGGCTTGTTCAAACAAGTTAGTATCATAAACTGTACTTTGAAGTTTGCTTGTTTCAACAAACCACAATTAAGACAAACCAGTGTTGGGATTGGATGAAACAAGAAGCTGGGGTTAATATTAACTGAAAGTGAAAGATCTCATGGCTACCCTAAAGGAGACGGGGAGGCATGTGAGCCTGATGGTTGTTGTGGTTCATTCGTGTAATATTAAATTATGGCTTATCTTTGTGCCCAAAAGTCTCCTCCTCCTTTCTTTTCTGGAGTTCCTTCTGGAATAAACTGAGAAAAAGTGAAGACTGCAGACATGTAAAGTTAAGCCTAACTTTTGACAAAGGTTACTCAGTGCTATTGAGGCTTTTCTCTAAAACCCTCATTCAAACTAATTAATAAAATTAAATTTTGTAGCTTGTCAAACACACTGAACCAAGTAATCATCTGGAGTTCTGATCTGAATAGGACCTGTCAGATCAAGATCTAAAGGTTGAGTTTGCCCATGTTTACTGTTTGAGTTATGAGGAGAGAATATTTAACTGCAGGACTCCCTATGAGTTCCTGCACTGGTATATTTGTCTACCCAAGTGAGATAAAACAGGAATTCTGCTTACAAGAAAGATGGTGAGGATCCTACTGCTGCTTAGCTTTAAAGGAACAGTCAGGACTGCAACATTGCAATGTGACCAAGTTAACTCAAGGGGAAAGGGAGGAAACATCTACAGGAAAGTATACAAACATTTAGAACATAATGCAAAATACTACTGAAATTAGGGAGAATAACTTCTTTTTTAAAGAAGTCTGCACTTGCAAAGTTAGGCCTATGAAACAAAGTGCTTTATAAATCATATATTACCGCCTTCATGGTGGACGCATTAATGAATTCCGGCCCAGAGAGGCTTAGCTTCAGGCAAGCAGATACTTGGGTGTAATTCACTGTATTTCTAGGATACAACTCAACACGCTTTCTGCAGCCAGCTACCACAGGTCTATCTGAATAATTACCATGCAGAGTATTTGCATGCATATGTGTCTGCAAATTTCATTACATTTGGTGCTATTTTGGTGCTAATTTTGAATTTCTTACTCCCATTCCCTTTTAAGCTTCTTTACTTTTACTGGAGTGCAACAGAAAATTTCAAGAAGGAACAATGCAACTAAACAATAACTTTTTATAAGCCCTTTCTTTGTGGAAATTGAAGTGTGGTAGGAAAATATTCCATAATTTTTGAAAAAAATATAAAGGAGTTGGATGAATAGCATTGAGTGTATGGATGCTTAAACACATCACTTCTGAAATGTGCTAACAATCCACTATCTAAACATATTGTATTTTTATCACGCTTGACAGTAATGAGCATTTACATTTTTCTACCAGTGTTAACAGCTGAAAACACAGAACATGAGATTTTCAATTCAAACCAGCTAGTCCAGTAAAATGGATAGAAGCAAAAGAAATACCCAAACAAATCTAAGAGTAAAGCACAAGTCTTTGGCTGTCCTTGAATGAAGAAAGGGTGTTTTCTACATGTATACAGACCCCTGCATTTGCCTACCAGTAGGGGCAATACCACATTTGTGCATCACTGAGTAATAACACCATTAGAAAAGGCAACTTCACAGAAGTTATTGGCTATGCAAATTCATCTGAATGCTCTATCCTGAGGCAGCAAGCTGTCAACTGGTGCATGATCAGGGAGGATGATGGGCTCATATAAAGAAGGAGATGGAAAGGACACCACAAGTCCTTATTAGCCAAAGCATATTAAAAAATAAAAAGAGAAAGCACTTTTAAATGTGCCAAACTGCAGTGTGTATTATATTTATGTATACATAAAATTGGTGTTCTAAATTAGTATGTGCAATGTTTCTACATTTATTAAATCAATTAATGTTATTCTGAAGTTTGTGCCCTCGAGTTTCTTTTAAAATTACCTTTAATCTCTTATATAACGTGTCTGAGATTAAATTTTATTCTATCAAAGAACATTTATGTGTGCACACATTGCAAATCCTATGTTGTTATATCACAGCAACCATGTACAAGGGACAATATATATATAAGCCACCTCTGTGTTCTCTAGCTATGGTTAAAGTGAGTAAAGAATTTTTAAAAATTTAAATTCTTTATATCTTTGTGTTGGAAAAAAACAGTGATCACCTCAGAATTGTTTATTTAATTAGGTTTAATTTTACACTCCTGAGATATATGCCATAATCCCAAGCACAGAATATATAAAGTGTAAGGGTTTATGACCATATATATATACATGTGTATTTATTTGACTGCTTTCTTGTTTTCAAGTTGTTAAAAGGGAAAGACTTTCAGACTGGCTGTAAGTCCACACGTACAGAATCTGAAGCTGATCTTGATGGGAACAGATTTAGGATCCCACATATGCCTCTAAAGGTTGTATTGTATCCTTTATAAGCAACCTGACCATCGCCACTGGACAGAAATCACATGGTGGTGTGGGGGATACTCTTTTGATAAGAAGGTAAGATGCTCTATATTTCTCAAATTTATGCACCTTCTAACTTCAAGCATATAATCTGGTTTAGGAAGTCACAAAGTTACTTCATGGCAGCTTTTTGTCAGTGTTTTCTCCATTTTCTTGCTACAGAGAAGTGAAGATTGTTCCTGTTCTGCTCCTCATCTTAAATGTAAGCAGTGTGTAGACACACAAAAAATGTAATTATAAAAGTGATGAGTGAGACCTCTAGTATTACAGAACCTTTCACCTGAAAACTGGAGAACTGCACTTAAAGTAGTCTCTTCCCAGTTTCTAATGTGCTCATCTTTGTTGATTAAATTTCAGTTCACAGAAAGGGAGAAGGAAAACAGGAAACTGAGCCAAGATCAACGCGGCTTGCAGAGGTTAAACAAAAATACTTGCTTGTGCAAACAGGACACTGACCTGGAAAGGACATTGAGTACAAAGCTAGAAAGAGGGTGCCACAGATACTGGGAAGTCTTCTTTGTAAGCTCACCTTCAGAGAATGTAATTCTGTAATAGAAACTCCTCCAACAGTGGCATCAACAATATTTTCACCCATGCCACCTATTCCTCCCTCTGTTCAGTGATATATGGCAGGTAGATCAGACACAGGGACAAATCACTTTTTTGTTCTGTTGCTGACCGCACATGTGACTATGGCACGTGCAGTTTGTGTGGCCAAGCACACGTTCAAGATATATAAAGAAAAAAGGAACCTGGGCTTGCCAATACAATCCTATTGTACATACATTCACTACCTACATGTTTAAAGGTATGAACAAAAGTTACAATAAGCAAAGTTAGCTTTGATGTTTCTTTCACTGCTTCTCTTGTACTATTCTCAGTTCACCTCTCTAGACAAGGCAAAAAGTTGTGATAGGCTCTCTCTACTAAGTAATTCTCATACAGAAAAAGAATTTCTATCCAGAGCTCAGTAGTGGGTGTGCAGGTGGTATGAATAAAGGAGAAGCTTTCCTGATGTATGACATATACAGAGTGGTGCTAGGTTTAACAAAAGTAGAAGAGGTGAGAATTAAAATATATTTTGAGATATATTTTTAGTGCCTCTTCCTCCCAGATGTTTTATAACAGCTGCACTCATGTGAAAAAGTTATTAAAACAAACCATTTATATATACAGTATACATACACATATATGTTTATATATACTGTATGTATGTGTATATATAATTTTTTTCATTTAAATTAAATGCTCGAATCCCAAGCCAAATGTGTATATCAAACTTTTGGCCAGCCAGGTCTATAGGGCATAATCAAATTCAATGTGAAATAGTATATAAATGCTGCGCCTTGACTGGGCAAATTAAATAATAACTACTCAAAAGAGTTTTCTGCTTTGATACTTCTACTGGTAGGCATCAGGGGAACTGTATCTTCCCTAAATTTGTTTCATTTAATAATAAGACAGATACAAAACAACTGAAGAATGTTTCAACCTTGACAAAAGGAAAAAAAAAACCCTAAAACAAGATTAATAAATGTCTGCTTTTACCCAACCAAAGCAATGCTTCAATTTATTACATAACCAGTGTTTCTGAGATTTAGTAGTCAAATTTATATGGAGAAGCAAGTCTAAGTCATAGGTGGAAGTTTTTTTTTCCTAAAATTTCCACTAGGAGAGGGAGAACAAAATCATAAGATGCTCAGCGTTAAGTAGGAACCCTGCCTGCAACTGCAGCATTTTAAGGAGAGCTAAAAATGAAATTATATCTGCAGGAACAAGAGGGGGTTCCATTTTGTAGAGGTTACTTTGAAGTAGAATGGCTGAAAGTGAAACTGACTTTTACTCACGGGGAGGCCTGATTTTTAAATATTCAATATGAGGAAAATGTTACATTTTCTATTCTTCCCAAGACAAGCCCAAAGGCATCTGAAAGCAGCCATTCGGGCAGTAAAGATTTGAGGGAAGGGGAACTAAAGTATGCTGCATATCTCACCTCCATGAATTTCCATTTTTCCAAACAGAGCTTCTTGCATTAGAATATCACACCATCCCTGCCAGGATATAGAGAATAATACAGAAACTCTGCTTTGAACATGACAAAGAAGCAGAGAGATCTGTACTTTCCCTCCTAACATTCAGATCTTTATCATGTCTGAAGCAACTCTACATATATTTTCAGCTATTTCTCAGAGACATTATCAATCTGCTTATTTTTACAGATTGAACCCATTCTCTATCTCTCAAGAGTGCCAGAATCAATCAATATTAGTTATTTTAATTTGAACGAAGAGCCAGGCAGACACCTCCATTTTTCTTAGAAATGGAAAAGCTGTTTTCCTTCCTTCAGGGCGTCTCTACTCTATAAAATTTCTTATTGCTAAGGATGCTTCAGAACCTAATATTTAAAAGCTATGCATTTAAAAGCAAATGCTTCAGAACCTAATGTTTAAAAGTCATCATGGCTTGGAAACATGACAGGTAATGGCAAGGATTTAACATCTGTGAGGAGAGTTACTTTCAGAAACTCTGCTACACAATTTCTGATCTGGCATTTCAGAGCTCCCTTCTCCATCTCCTTATTTTCCTTTCAAGCTCACACAAAGTGGTGGTGAGTGAGCTTGTTTTGAAAGGAGGAGGAAAGATACTTAGAATGAGTTATACACTGGGTATGTAATAATAACAAAAGAAAAAAAAGAAGAAAAGCTACCTTATTAAGATCATACAATTAATCAAACAAAGAGTGTGTGTTTGCATCTCTCTGTGTGTATATATATACATATACATATATATAAAATATCTGTTTCTTTTAAAGCCCTGGCAACCAAGGCATCCAAAGTTATTAAAATAAAGTTCATTCACAGAACAAAAACAAATTTAATCTGAGTTGCTTGCAGATACTGCTAATTTTCATTTTTTTTAAATTAAAAAAATGTGTTAATGTGAACTATGTGCAGGGTTTGTTTCTAGTAGTGGTGTTGTGCACATTGTCTCAGGACCTGCTGTTGTTGGAGTTCTTGTTCAGTGTCTCCTGTTACACAAGGGAAAAGTTGACACTTGTGAGAAACAGAGGGATGCTCTTGATCTTTCAAGAAGCAGAGGTGGTGGTTGCTCCTGTCCTCTGAGACTCCTGGTCACCTCCAGCCCCTTCAGTATCTTCTGACAAGCTCAGAGCTGCAGTTTTGTTTGCAAGAAGGCCAATATTTTCTTGTGTTGAAACTGATCCATTTGGAACATCACTGCTGAAGAATAAATGCCGAAAAGGAAAAAAAACCGGGGGTGGGGAGAGAAATTGAACAGAGTTAAAAGAGTAAGATTGAGAAGGGAGCTGGAATGTAACTGGCTATGTTGTTCTAGACCCCTCTTATTGAAAACAGTTCATAGATAGATAACTGTGTTTCACTGAAAATCAGTCTAACCTTCAGGGTGACAATGAACACCCTAAACAAATAATGAGTGAAGACAGATATAATATGCTGAAGTACAGGGAAACTGGTTTCAACTTAGATTTGTTGCGTTCTGAGCTATTTATTTCCTGTGTAAAAATGCAAATCAAGACTCCTACTTTTACACTTCAGAATTCACTTTTGTCTACATACATAGCATAAAAGTAAATAATCAAAACATTGTGAACACAACAGAAAGAACACAAAATAGATTTACAGTTCCTAAGCATCTTGGAAGTGAACCTTTATTTGTATTTTCTTGATTTGCTTTATAAAGTTTCACCTGTTTGGATCTCCTCATCTCCAACTCTAGCACGATAATGTGGGTGGTGTGCTAGGACCACATGCGCCACGTGCTGTTTGGGCAGGAGCTGTAACTGGGCACTCAGTATTTTTTCTACTGGACAATCACAGAATTAACTTTAAATTACACAATGCTTAATTTTTAAGTTGGAATGTTTTTACCATGTTTTTGAAATACCAGATAGAAAGCAAGAATTTGTCTTGCTCAAAGGCTTAGTTGCGGGCTGCAGGCCTGAGTGGCACTCCTTGAGTTTGGATGCAGCTTAATACATATTAATATTGTGAGGGAAGGAAAAAATGTAGAGATATTTGACTACTGACAAGTTTTACCGATCAAAAGAGATCAATCCGGAAGTGATTATTTCAGGGAGGGGGGTGACAAATACATGACTTATCATGACACCAAGAACATTCTTTTCTATAATGGAAATTATTAAATTATTAAAAACAAACAGCATTACAACAACAGGTACTAAATTTGCAATAATTTTTCAGATTTACTGTATATAGAAATAAGAATTTGCTACACTGGAAGCTGAGGAAGCTAAACAAAATGCTAGTCCTGCCAAAGTTAAGGTCTTTTAATTTTCATTTACTTCAATGGTATATTCAAATAATCCCACCAATATTTCCCATTTAAAGATTAATAAGCAAATAAATTAAAGAGAGGTTACTTTCCTGTAACTGTTGCTCTCTGAGTGGTACTTTGTGAATCCACACAAATGGGTTAAAGTGTGCCTGCGCAGGACTCTTTGGAATATTCTAGAGCTTAAATAATGACAAGTGAAACGTCTCCCTGTATTGCGCATGCTCCGCCCGCTCACGGTACTCAGTTTCGAATATCCGCCATCCGTTCGGCGGGACGTGTGGATTCACAGATGACCACTCAAAGAACAACAGTTACAGGTAAGTAACCTCTCTTTCTTCTTTGTGGTTTCTGTGAATGCACACAATTTGCTGACTAGCAAGCTCACTTACCGGAAGGAGGGCCATCATGGCAGAACCAAAGTCAATACAGCCCTTCTGAAGCTTGCTTCTTTTTTTGCTCTGACATCCAGTCTATAATGGGTAGCAAAGGTCAATGGTGTAGACCAGGTCACTGACTGACAGATGTCAGAGAGTTCAATGCCATGCAGCCATGCGGTGGAACTAGCCACAGCTCTGGTGGAATGGGCTTTGAGCACCTCTGGTAGAGACTTGCCAACCAGGTCATACGCTAAAGCGATGGCAGAGACCAACCATCTGGAAATTGATTGGGATGAAGCTGGATGACCTTTCCGAGGTTCATGAAAGCAGACAAATACCCTGGGAGATTTACGGAAGTCTTTAGTTCTTGAAACATAAAAGGCTAAAGCCCGAAGTGGAGCATGCACTCAACATCTGACAAAGGGTTGGGAAACAACGTTGGGAGAATCAAGGGCTGATTAACATGAAATTCCGAAATCACTTTAGGGAGGAATGAAACATCAGGATAGAGAACAACTTTCTCTGGGCAGAACTGCATATAAGGCTCATCAGCCCGTAGTGCGGCTAATTCACTTGCCCTTCCTGCAGACATGATGGCCACCAAGAACAAAGTTTTGAAGGACAGTAAATTCAAAGGAGCAGTAGCCATTGGCTAGAACGGAGATCGTGTGAGCACCTTCAGGCCAGTCTGAAGAGACCATTGAGGAGTTGGAGGTCGCACAGGAGGGCGAATATTTCGCAGACCTCGAAGGAATTTCTTTACAGTAGAGTGAGAAAACAAATGAGAAGCATTGGAACCCACCGGTTGATATGGCTAAAATGTAAACTTTTGAGTCTGGAATGCACCAAACCCATATCAAACAAATGGCGTAGAAAGGTAAGAAGGGTCCTCAGAGAAACAGGAACTAACAACTTGGCTGACGATCTTCGAGCCTTATCGAGTACTTCCCTTATGATGGGGGAATCCTCCACAATGTGAGATGGAGAGATTCGACATGGGGGTGACAGACATTGCCTCCGTCCTGAGTCAGGAGAGATGGTTGGAGAGACAATCTCAGGTACTTGGTCGCAATGGCCTTGAGGGTGAGGAACCATGGTTGTCGAGGCCACCATGGCGCCACCAGGATGGCATCTGCTCTCAACTGTTGGGTTTTGATTATTGTACGCTGGATGAGTGGAAAAAAGTAGAGAAGGACCGCATCCCATTGCACCATAAAGGCATCTCCTAAGGATCCTATGACTCTGACCATTCGAGAACAAAAAAGTTCGCATTTCACATTCGACTGTGTGGAGAAGATGTCGATAGTGGGTGTGCCCCACCTGTTGCAGATGATGCCATGCGAACACTGAGTCATAGAGGACCCATTCGTGTGTCTGAGTAGTCAGACGGCTCAAGTGGTCAGCTACATTGTTGTCTTCTGTCGCCACATGTATGGCGACTGGGAATATGTGATGGTCATAGCACCACTCCCATAGGTGGATCGACAGGTATAGCAGAGACAAAGAATGAGTGCATCCTTGCTTGTTTATGTAGTACAAAGTGGTCATATTGTCTCTGACCACTTGTACTCCTTAACCAGTTAGTAGTGAACCAAAGGCTCGGAAGGCTTTGATAACTGCTAACATTTCCAGATGACTGATATGTAGCAGCCTCTGCAAGTTGGACCACTTGGCCTGGATCTTGTGAACGCCACAGTGTGCGCCCCATCCTATTGTACTGGCATCGGTTGTAACTTGCACAGTCAATTGGAGGGGCTTGAAAAGTCTGCCAATCAGCAGATGAGGTCTAAAGGTCCACCATGTTAGTTGATGCCCCAGCTCTGGAGTGACCTAAAGATGCTTGGCAGGGTTGTCCAGCAAAGGACTGAACTGTGAGAGATATCAGATATCAGATATCAGAGAGAGAGAGAACGAGAGAGAGAGAGATAGTTTGGGGATTAGTCTGAGGAGTGATTAGTAACCTGTGATATTTAATACACAGGATTAATATTGATGCTTGGTGAAACTGAAATATGCTTATGGATTATCCTAGAAACCATCTGTAAGCAATAAACCTGTTTTATTAATAAGTCAGTACTGAATGGACCTTCATCTTTCCTAAGTACGTTGATAAGGAGATCAACTGGTGGCAGCGTGTCCAGAGGTTTTTAGTTTGCCTTTGTGTGCTCTGTGTTTGGGGAGACAAGTAGGGACCACGAGGCTGCTTGAAGAATTGGTAGTATTTTACTCTATAGCTGCCTCTGATAGGCGTCCATGGCTGCTTAATAATTAGAGACTCTCATCACGAAGGTAGCCAATGAATACAGGTGACAGCCAAGCACATCTAATTTATGACCCTCTCTATTAGTAGGGGTCACTTTAGATCGATTCCCCACCCTTGACTGATTGGATTGGACAATAATAGTTCGGGGCTGGATGTTTGCTTAAGAAAGATGTATCATTACCATGTGTTCGATAATGATTCTCAATCCTCCTCGAAATTTGCAGGGATATAGGTGGCTGAGTCCATGATTCTTTGATTAGATCTAGCATCAATAGAATAAATACTAAAATCAAGGGTGGTGATTTTTCTTGATTTGTCTCATCAAATACTAAGTCCTGTTTGGGGGGTGGGGTTTGATCAATGTCCAATTCCAAAGACTTAGCCATTCGTAGTATTAGTTGTGAGCATGACGTGTAATCCTCTGAGGGAGATGGGGGGTGTACATCAGCTACGTCTGAATCTGGTGTTGGCAGATTCGAGGGAGATTTCCTCGATGCTTCAGACTGTTGATCCAAGTCAAGACACTGATGTTGCCAATGAGTCTCTGGACTCCTCTTCAACTGACAGAGTGGGCAATGGTGAGGTCTGTGTGTTACTGACGCGGAGGCAGAGACTCTCAGTATTGGAGACTGCAGCCCTACATCAGACGGTTGAACTGATCCTGATGGTGTTGTGTTACTGTGTTGTGTTACTGAAGGTGCCAGTATCCATTGTGTTCAGGGTTGCTTCTCTTTGGTAACACAATGCTGCTCCTGTTGAACATATCGCTTCAAAGCATGTTTTATGGTGATTGGTTCGACCTTGAGATACGCTCAGTGTCGGTGCCGAGGCGGTGAAGGATGAGAAGACCCTGAAGAGGCGTAAACTTAGCGTACCCTCTTGGGTCGAACATATTCTCTGGCATCGAACATGGGATCGAACTCGCATTCCTCGTATCAGTGCCAAAACCCATGTCAGTTTGTTTCCATATACAGTGGTGCCTCGCACAACGATTGCTTCATACAACGATGAATTCACACAGCGATGGGTTTTTTTGAGGAATTTCCCCCATCGTTTAACGATGTTCTCTATGGGGGAATTTCACTTAACGATGTCCCTTTTTGCTCATTTAAAAGTGTCTTAATGTTTGAAACCTGTTTTAAATGCTTGGATTCCATAGTGCACCTTGTGAAACATGTGCAAACTTAATTTGGTTTTGTTCTGAGTCTTCATTAATTTTTGGTGATTTTTTTATTTTCCCCATTTAAATCAATTGAATGGACAGTTCAATGCATTTAAATAGGGAAAACAAAAAATCACCAAAAATTAAGGACGACTCAGAACAACACCAAATTAAGTTTGCATAGGGTTCAGGAGGCGGGCTAACGATTGCAAGCATTTAAAACCTGTTCCAAACATTGTAAGGCACTTTTAAATGAGCAAAAACGGACTTCACAAAGCCATTGAAATGTATTGAGTCGGCTTCAATACATTCCAATGGAGGAAACATTGTTTCACTCAACAATGTTTCCTATGGATTTTTTCACTTAAAGACGGCAATCCGTTCCAATTGGAACGGATTAACCGGTTTTCAATGCATTCCTATGGGAAATGGTGTTTCACAGAACGATGTTTCACACAACTTTGATTTTTTTGGAACCAATTAACATCGTTGTGTGAGGCACCACTGTATAGTGGCTTTTCAAAGTCGGCAAAAGCGCAACGCTGGGCACCACTGTATAGTGGCTTGTCAAAGTCGGCAAAAGCGCAACGCTGAGACAGGCGCGGAAGCACAATTACATCCCGATGCCGAGAAGGATGCCGGTCTGATGAAACATGCCGACGTTTCATAAGGTGTTTTTGTGGAGCGGTATGTGGTGGAGACATCTCCAACACTGACACAGCCACTGTCGCCCAACTGATGGATATAGGGCTAGAATGGGCTGAGGATGGAAATCACTTCAGCATCTGAATGGCCATGGCTAGGAGACAGGCTTGGAACTGACTTCGACGCCTGTTGCTGAGACTGTGCTAGAAAGTCTTCTCCCTCAGAAAGTGATTCTGGATCGCAAAGTTTCCTGGACGACTCTTTTAGGTAATGGTAAAATGATCTTCACAGGGGAAGGCTCTCTCAGCTGGACCAACTTGTGAGCCTGTTTAGCCTTCTTATGCTTCGACACCTCCTTCTTTTTCTTCGGGTCCTTACTGGACGGTGCCTTCGGTACCAATATCAAAGGTATCTTCGGTACCGATGTCGATCCCGACATCAAATATCTCCTTGATTTAGAGGCTTTAGACAATGCCTTGAAAGAAGGAATAACGTGTCGGTGATGCAATAGGTTCAGTATGAGGGGTAGGGGGAGCAATGGAAACGGCAGGTTCCATCTCTGTTGAGCGTGAAGGTGTCAGATTTTGCCCAGAGATAAGAACGGAGCCTTTGCAATCAAAGCTTTAAAGCAGGCTTGGTGAGTTTCTTGCAAGCCTGATAAGAATTAGGCTGATGTATTTCTCCTAAACAAAATAGGCAGCGGTCATGGCCATCTGTAAAGGGGATTTTATTTGCACACGACACGCACTATTTGAATGGGCCTAAAGAGGCCATAAAATTTGGCGGGAACCAAAGAACAACAACAATAAGGGACAAAACTCATGGGAGACGTAATGATGGAAGTCCAGAATCAAGCCAAAATATCAATCCGATAAAATATCAAGTATAATTTAAATCCAAAATCCAAACTCAGAATGATAAACAGCTCGAGGTCAAGCCGAATAATCACAGAATGAAATCAAGGATCAAAGTGGAATCAAAGTCAAGTCAGTCCATAGTCAATAATCCAGATAAATTTTGTAATCAAGAGATTTTAAACAGAAGATAGCTCTAAGCGATTCAAAGTAGTCTGATTGCAGTGGTGGCAAAAAGGAACTGAGGTACCGCAGGCGGGTGGAGCATGCGCGACACAGGGAGACGTTTCACTTGTCATTATTTAAGCTATAGAATATTCTGAAGAGCCCTGCGCAGGAGCAGTTTAACCCATTCGTCAAATACATAGTAAAAAAATAGTCACACAATTTCTACTTCAGCTAACTAAAAGTAAAATTGATGCTGCTCTTTAGCAGCTTTGAAAAACAAGGAAAAAAGTCACATTCAGCTTCATTAAAATACAGGTGGTAAAATATACTCTTCCTACTAAATACCCTACAGACATTATTGACACTCCTGTTAAAGAAAGTAAAGTATAAACCCAAGTAGAAATACTGCTTATCCTGTTGCCAGACAACTATCTACTGGTCAATACAGTTTCCAATTTAAAAAAAAGGGAGGGGAGGATCTTGTTCAGTTTAGTACATAACATTTATATATATTAGTCTATAGCACAGGAAGTGTGATTACTCCTATCCCTTGTATTATACCTATATCCTTTCCATTAATATGTAGATGACGTAATATATCTAGCAATGTATGATGGCAAATTCTATCGAATGATTTCTTGAAGTTATACATACACATATATATACACACACACACACACCGATAGACACCTAGATCCTGTCATACATCCAAACCCTTTTCACTAAAAGTATTGAACTAATTCAAATTAAATAATATTAAACTATTAGGTTTGCAACAGTATCTGCAAATAACAAGCAGCATGCCTAACACTTAGTATTACAATCTGAGTCAGTTTATCAACCGAAGTTATCTTACCTGAATGTTACTGCAAGGTCCTCAGCTGGCACTTTGCTTTGCTGTCCATTTTCTGTCTGCTTGCTTGTACCCACTTTATTTTTAACATCCAGTGAAGACTGGTTCTCCTAGGAAAAGGGAAAGAGAAATCTACATTTCACTGTGTACAGAAAGTTTGTGCAAGATATAGACATATCTGACCAAGAAGATAGCTGTAGAAACCAGAAAAAGTTATACAGACCAACCCATGCAAATGCAACAATGCAAGGGAACATAAACCTGAATATACTTTCCCCTATCTATACCCTGTTTCCCCCAAAATAAGACCTAACCTGAAAATAAGCCCTAGTATGATTTTGCAGGATGCTTGTTAATATAAGCCCTACCCCCAAAATAAGTCCCAGTTAAGTGAAACCCCGCCCTCCACCATTGTGTAGCAACCAGGAGAAGACATGACTGCATTTGAATAAATGTAGATTATTGTACATGAAAAAATAAAACATCCCCTGAAAATAAGCCCTAATGCATTTTTTGAGCAAAAATTAATATAAGACCTGTCTTATTTTCGGGGAAATACGGTACCCTCAGAGACAAAGCTTCTCAAAAGCACATATAATAAGTGGCAAAACTCAGGAAGTGTACCACTATCCCCCTTCAAAATGTCATTTGACAGGTGTTGCATGCAGGATTCAACACAGCACATGTCTGTGCTTAAAAAGCTAAGTTCTCTGTTGCTAATATTCAAGTACTTGCTTTTTATTTATGAGATAGGTTACAAAATCACCTTATTGCATATGAACAAAAAATAAAGTCACTCTAGCCTAAGTAACTGTTAGATACTGTTTCCCTGAAAATAAGACCTAACCTGAAAATAAGCCCTAGTATGATTTTTCAGGATGCTTGCAATATAGGCCTTCCTCCAAAAATAAGCCCCAGTTAAGTGTCTGGAGCATTGTGCAGCAACCAGAAGATAACATGACTGTATTTGAATATCCCCTGAAAATACTCCCTAATGCGTTTTCTGGAGCAAAAATTAGTATAACACCCTGTCTTATTTTGGGGAAACACGGTAGCTAACACTTGCGGCAGCCATATAGTAGGACATATTCCTACAACTCACCTAGCTACAGCAGTGGCGGTGGCGGCAGCAGCAATGGCAGCAGCAGCAGAGCCTTTTCTATCCTTTCATTTTACCATACAGAATACTCACCAGGTTCAGCTCCCGAGTTCTCTTTCCAATTTCCCTCTCCACCTGGTGCAGTTCCAAGCTCAGCTGTTCACTTGAGATCATTCCAGGCCACTTAGGAGGTGGCGGTGGGGGCTGTGGTTGGCCTGCCAAGGGGTTCGCCTCCCTCTGCAACAGCAGCCTGTTACTAACAGCCTAAATGCACAAAGCCAAGCACATATACAACTGAGCCCACAAAATACAGCATGCAGATATGGGAATCAGGCCAAAATTCAGGAGTATTGCTTGGTTCTCAAAGCCCAGCCAAGTTACCTTTCATGAAAAATATACAAAATGGACACTATTCTCAAAAACATTTGACATGAAGATCAAGCAATATTAAATCAGAAGTATAGGCCTTGAATATGGAAAGTTTTTCTCAAGTTTTATGAAACTATTCATTGTATTCGCGAAGGCTTTCACGGGTAGGATCTAATGGTTGTTGTGGGTTTTTCGGGCTCTTTGGCCATGTTCTGAAAGTTGTTCTTCCTAACATTTCGCCAATCTCTGTGGCCGGCATCTTCAGAGGACAGCACTCTGTGCTCTAGTGTAGTTTGCTTGGGAATGGCAAGCAAGTCCCAAGCAAACTACACCAGAGCACAGAGTGCTGTCCTCTGAAGATGCCGGCCACAGAGATTGGCGAAATGTTAGATTCACTCTTTATTTCAGCTCAGTACAGAAACATAGTACAGAATACCTGGAAACATGGTTTATACCAGCTGTGTAGTAAAAGAAAAATCTAATGACATAAGAAATGCCCATCTAGATTATGCCATGGCTTCATTTAATTAAGCATTTTTTTCTGCAACAGCCAGATGCCTTTAGGAAGGCAGCTAGCACAGCTAGGTAAAGGTCAAGGTTCTCCTTGACGTTTAGTCCAGTCATGTCCAACTCTAGGGCGCGGTACTGCCAACCTAGCAGTTCGAAAGCATATAAAAATGCGAGTAGATAAATAGGTACAACCATGGTGGGAAGGTAACAGCGTTCTGTGTCTAGTCGCGCTGGCCACGTGACCATGGAAACTGTCTTCGGACAAATGCTGGCTCTATGGCTTGGAAATGGATTGTCCCTTGCAATGTTTATCTTTAGGACTGCTATCTTCAGAACATGCAGAACAGCGTACTTAACATATAATGACTAAATCTTAGAATATACCTCATAATTTGCAAACATTCACTGCAGTTTTGCATCAGACCAAAGTTTGAAAACCACTGGTCCTAATGTAAATATTGTTGCATAATGTGCAGCACAGCACTTATGCACACTTGGCCAAGCAAAGAACACTTAAATATAATAGTATCCAGGACATTAAAACGAAGTATCCAATTTTATTTAAATGAGAATTTGTTCAAATTTAATCTTCACATTTTAATCTTCACTGTCCAGAAACAGTAATTTGGAAATACCTTATATCAGCTACAAAAATGGAAATCAACTACAGTTATGAAAGTTGAGTCGTGGCAACTGGGTTTCTTTCTTATTAGGTTGAAACGTTTCGCTACTCATCTAAGTAGCTTCTTCAGTCTGAGGAGAGTTGGTAGGAGGCCCTTGATATATCCTCCACGTTGTTTTCACTTCACCCTGAAACCAATGTGGAGGATATATCAGGGGTCTCCTACCAACTCTCCTCAGACTGAAGAAGCTACTTGAATGAGTAGTGAAACATTTCAACCTAGTAAGAAAGAAGTCCAGTTGCCATGACTCAGATAACCTCACCTGGATGACTGAGAATCTTCACAGATATACAGACAGTTCTATTTTCAGTTTTAAACATATACATCATTCAGCATGTTAGATGTCCAATTAATCATAATTATAATAATGGAGAGTAACCACAGGGTGGGTATTTTCAGACCATCCAACACTCCTCTATTATAGCATCAGCAAAGACAGGCATGCAAGAATTAAGCATGATGCATTTCTTGTTGCTGAGCTGGACTATAAGAATGTCAACATTTATATAACTGAGATCTAAGTTTCCTCTTGAAACTATCATTTCTGCTCAGAGAAACAATACATAAACACCATCCAACTCCCTTTGCTTCAGGCAAGCTGAGTGTTCTAGGAATAAAGACTTTCTGTGACTGTCACTGCGGAAAACCTGAAATGAAGTAATTTATACTCGCTTGCAAGATTGCCACAACTTCTTTATTTTGTGATGGTATTGCTTTACTGCGATAAATGTATTTTGCAATCAGTACTGTCTAGCTGCTTCTTCCTCCAAAATAAATTCCACCATTAAAATTTCCAGATGGTTTTTCAACAATTTATACACAACCATTATTTGGTTTATATTTTGCAAGGAAAAGTCAAAGAACATAAAATAAAATAATAAACAGCAAAGAAAGCTCACCATATTGCCTTTTTTGAAAATCAGAAAAAAAATAGGGTTTTTTTCCCCAAAAATGTGGGGGTGAGGGAGGGAAGGAGAACTCATGTGCCCAAGATATGTAGGCAAAACAAGAGTTTGAAGACTTCTGGTGAGTCTGCTGTACTGATTGGTGCCAAGAGTTCTTCTCTAATTACTTAACTTTTAACAAATCTGAAATAGCTAAAAAATAAAGGATGAACACTTTACTCTGAAATGCTATAGACCAATCCGAAAACAACATAGAAAATGATGTATACTCAGTTCTCTCTCTTTCTATGATCCAGTTCCTCCTGCCCTTTTCGTATTTAAAAAAGAAGAAGAGAAAGGAGTACCCACCTCCATTCCACGTGTCTGCTGGCTAATCTGATGATTTAACTGCTGCAGTTCAAGTCGAAGTTGCTGTTCTCTTTCAGATGATGGTAGAGGTTTCCCATGGCCAGCCACATCTGTCATAGCCAATCTCTCTCTTTGGAGACAAGAGAATTGTTCATTAAAAGAAGCAAGATGTTTCAGTTCTAACATCTTAGGATGTTTTTTCAATGAAATGTGTATAATACAGCAAAGAATAACAGGTTGAAATGTTCATACCTGTCACTAAGGCGTCCCTGAGAAGGTAAATTTTGATGGGGTGAATATGGCGAGCCTCCCCATGTACTGTGTGTTCCATAAGGACTGTAATCTACAAGACAATTAAAAATGTAAATTAAATTGGAGCTACTTCTATTCAGTGTATCCTCCAATTATCCGGCATGCGCTACTTCGCCCCTGTGTATGGTGTGTGACTCTGCCCGGGAGGGGGGGTTCTGTCTGTGGCTGGAAACAAAGGGGCTGAATCTGATTGCTGCAAGGAGGAGGAAGAAAGCAGTGCGGAGAGGAGTCGCTCCTGTGCCCACAGCTTAGAGGGAACCTTGTTCCTATGACAATGATCATAAAACAGATGCTTTTGCCCAGACACTAAGGCACCCATGGATACACATTTAAAAACTGTTTGCCATGTGACATACAGTATGGGATACAGTTCAAGAAACACATAGAACCTGTTGAATCAGTTTCCATATTATTGTCTGAAGCATAGCTAAGACTTAAAACATCTTCCTCAAGCTGTTCATATTTTTTGAAACGTTCAGTATGATTAGGATTGGTATGAACCTCCAGACTTTGTGTATTATCACTATTCTTCACTACACGTTATTGACTATCAAAGGAAAAAACCAAAACCAGTTTTAAAAAGGAATTTAAAACCCCTCTCCAAATACTGGATTAGGTGTAGTAAGAGTCATTCAACTCAAATTCACTGCAGAGTAGACGTAGATTAAAAGTCTGCCACAGTGTAAGAATCCCTATTTAATACATGGAAGTATCTGAACAGCAAAACCTTAAAGGATTTTAAGGCATGGGGAAGGGACCAAGAGGCATCCGTCCTTATTGCAATTTCTACAGCAGTCAGGCTTAGAAGAAACTTGCCATGGTAGCCGAATAAGGAATGTTTTCAAGCCTAAATGGAACTGAGGGAAACAATTCTGAGGTCAAAGGGTGCAGGATGTGTGGATGGCAAAAAGTTTCATATTTTTCATCTTGATTTTTTTAAAGATGCCTCTTTCATTTAATTTGTTTTCATGTAATTAGTGTGTCAGTCCTTTCATTTAACACAAAAAGGAAAGCCTCTTTGGGGTTATTTTTAGAGATGGGGGTATTTGTATATGAATACGAATATCCCTGCACAGGTGGAAACAACGAGGGTCTGGTCCCAAGGGGCCGGACTGCCCATTCACAATTTTGCCGCTGCCGCTGGCTCCATGGAGGCTTCCTATTGCACCGTTGTCCGCAACTGATTGCCCACTCCTGGCAGGAGGTGGGATGACAAGCCTCTGTGCCAGGTCGCAGAGTGGCTAATCCATTGCGGACAACGGCATGATAGGAAGCCTCCGCGGAGCCGGTGGCAGCAGCGAAATCGTGAGTGGACAGCCCCTTGTTATTTCCATCTGTGTGGGGATATTCGTATACAACTATGAATACTCCCATCTGTAGTTATTTTGTATTGGGCCTCCCTATTTGTGTTTCCTGAAACTAGTGCACCGTAACCCTACAGAACTCTTCAAAATTACTAAAAAACAAACAAAAATACAGAGAGGCAAGGCACCGAGAATCTACTCTAAAAGCAGGCAGCAGTGCATGAGAAAGAAAAATAATTACCAGACCTATGCAGACACAATTTTCTATTATCACATCCATCATCATCCCCACCACAAAGTCCACCCCGTGGCCCACACACCCCAAAGATGGCTCCAGTTCTTCTTGGAGGAGAGAGCTCAGAAGGTGGTGCTGGGGGATTCCTGTATGACGCTCTGGCCACCGACCCGCAGGGTCTCTCAGGGTTGTGTTTTTGTCTCCTATGTTATTTAACATCTACATGAAACTGCTGGAAAAAGTTGTCTGGAGCTTTGGGGTTTGGTGTTGTAAGCTTCATCTGTCTCCGGGGAGATCAGACAAGCCGGGAATAGAGAGATTCCGGAGTTTAGTCCGTCCCTAGGTGGCTAAGATGAGCCCAAACTCAGCCAGGCAACTGCACTGAATCCCCTTCCTCAAGTCTACCCCCTTTGTTAAGAAAAGAAAGAAACACAACATAAACCATAAGCTAGAACTCAGGTAAATTATGGGCTCTATGGTAGCAAATACGTGGCCAATTATTAGGTAGCAAAATAATTATTCAGGCTATTCTGTTCAAAACATGAGATCTTAAACATTACCGTTTTTATTAAGAAATTATAGTTCTAGATAGAATTCAGTTTATTGCAAAGTAAGGCATTTAGTAACATTTCCAACCAAGACATTAGAATACTCCACAAACTCCAGCTAAAAAAAATAAAACAAAGAAATAAATACTAATCTATAGTTAAGGACGGCTTAGCCTTCCTTCTCTTAAGGAAAACTACTTTCTTACGTATCCAGGAATTCCATAGTCCATCAGGAACGGTAAAGTCCATTATAGTCCATCAGGTCCATGTTAGGAAAAAGGCTCCATTTCAGGAAAAAGAATCCATTTTACAAAAAAGGGCTCCTCTCTGTCTCAGGAAGTCTCCATTTTACAACTTACGACTCCATTACCCCCCTTCTCCTTCTTCTTCAGGATTACCAATCAGGAACACGCAAAAAGTGCCTTGTCCCGCCCTAGTTTCACATGAGACTTTGCAGGTGTTATTATGTTAGTGGTAGAATTGCTATGACTACAAGAAGTTCTGCTCTTCGGCCATCCTAGCAACCAGATAAGGACTGAGAGCTAGGGAGTCGAAAACAGCATCTTGAAATTTCTTTCACAGACACAGACATTGATTCAAAATGGATGCCATTAAGACAATTATATGACTACATAACCCATTCTAAGAAACACACTATAGCTTCAAAAACACATATCATTACAGGTGTCACCAGTATGCCAACGACACCCAAGTCTAACTCTCCTTGCCACCTAAATCCGAGGAAGCTATTTTGACTCTAGATCAGTGTCAGGTATCAGTAATGGTTTGGATGAGAGTTAATAAACTGAAACTCGATGCAGACAAAACAGAGGTACTCCTGGTCAGTCGAAAGGCAGATCAAAGAATAGGGATGCAGCTGGATGGCATTGTACTCCCTCTGAAAATGCAAGTGGACAGCTTGGGAGTGCTCCTGGATTCATCTCTGAGCCTGGATGCCCAGGTCTCAGGAGTGGCCAGGAGTGCCTTTGCATAATTAAAACTAGTGTGCCAGGCTGTGCCTGTTCCTGGAGATGTCTGATATGATCATGGTGGCAAATGTCTTGGTTACATCTCAGCTGGATTACTGTAGCATGCTCTACATAGGATTTCCTCTCCAAACTGTGCGGAAACTCCAGGGGTCAAAAGCATGGCAGCCAGATTGCTAAAAGAAAAATTACAAGAATCACATAACCCCTCTGTTACAGCAGCTTCACTGGCTGCCAATCCATCTCTGGGCAGAATTCAAATTGCTAGTTAAAACCTATAGAGCCTTAAACGGTTTGGGTCCAAGTGATCTAAAAAGAGTGCATCTCCCTCAATGAGCCTGCCCAGGTGTTAAGATCATCAGGGGAGGCCTTTCTCTCGGTCCCACTACCCTCACAGGTGCACTTGGTGGGGACACGGGAGAGGGCCTTCTCTGCCGCTGCTCCCAGACTCCGGAACGTTTCCCATGGGAAGCTAGGTTGGCCCCATTTTTGCTATTCGTCAGCATGCAGGCTTTTCTTTAGTGATTGGTGGCTGGTGAAGTTTTTAAAATGGATTGTTGTGCTCTGTTGCTTTTAAATGTTTTTTTCTGGTACTGATTTTATTTACCATTTTTTATATAAGTGTTCAATTCTTTTTAAATATTTGTATACTTACTGTTTTTAGCTTTTAAATATTGCCTTTAAAGGATATAAGCCACTGTGGGTCCTTTTAAGGCAGGGGTGGGCAATTAATTTCTATATGTGGCCACATGAAAAATCTGAACTGTGTTCGGGGGCCGAACCAACTTTACTTAAAAATAGGCCCCCATTAGGTGGGTAGTAATAGGCCCCCCAATTTGTGGGCAGTAATAGGCCCCCATTGGGTGAGGCCCTGCAGTGAACGAACTACAAGGCTGACATAGTTAACTTCCTAAACTTTTTAGGGAGTTAACCATGTAAGCATTGCAATTTGTTCGCCACGGGGATTGGAGGGAGAAAAAACCCCAGACACTGAGCTAACTCACCTGTTCCCCCACGGCCTTCTTCTCTGACTGCCTTCTATTCCGCGCAGGTGACGTGATGCATCATCACGTCGCCTGCGCAAGGATCACTTTCGGCCTATTGAGCTGCAGACTCCACAGCCTGCGACTCAAAAGTAACAGTCAAAACTCATGAGATCCCAGCCAGTCGGATCTCATGAGTTTTGCTTACTGCCGTGCTGGGTGACTGAACGTCGTCTGCGCAAGGATCACTTTCGGCCTAGTGAGCCGCAGGCTCCACAGCCTGCGACTCAAAAGTAACAGTCAAAACTCATGAGATCCCAGCCAGTCGGATCTCATGAGTTTTGCTTACTGCCGTGCTGGGTGACTGGAGCTGGAGCTCCGGCTCACTCAGCGGCGACGGGTGGGCCGGACAGGAGCAGCTCGCGGTCCGTATGTGGTCCGCGGGCCGCACTTTGCCCAGGTCTGACCTAGACTTCTATAGACCGCAGAAATTGTTGCCTCTCTCATGTTGGCCTCTAGCAGAGGCGAGCAACAACATGTTTGCGATTCGCAGCTGCCAACAGAAGCTAGCTGGCACAACCAATAGTGGGAGGTGATGGGAGTTCGATGTCCAAAAATATCTGATGGGCTACAACTGCTCTCCCACCCACTTCCTGCCAACAACATAGAACCAAAGCCAGGAGATGATTGCTTTTTCCTCCTTGAAAAAGGGTGTTACGCAAACCTAAATGCTATAGAGTATTTTATGTTAGGGACTTAATTAAATTTGATTGTTTTTACCGTTGCAAACTGCCCAGAACAGTGCACTGCACTAACGGGGTGGTATACACATTTATCGTATTTTTCCTCCATAAGACACACTTTTTTCCCCTACAAAAGGGGGGTAGAAAGTCTGTGCGTCTTATGGAGCAAAGGAGGTGACTTCGCCCCCACTGGCCCAGTGGGGGAGGAGCGTCGCAAGGGTCCGAGGGAGCCTTCCAGTACCCTTGCAATGCTCCCCCACCCCCCCCCACGGGGCGAGCGCGGGCGAAATCGCCAGCTCCCAGGACCTTTTGAGAGGCTTGAAAACCACTCAAAAGGTCCTGGAAGGTTGCTATTTCGCCCGCGCTCGCCCCGTGGGGGGGTATGGGGGTAGCGTGGCAAGGGTCTGGAAGGCCCCCTCGGCCCCTTGCAATGCTCCCCCACCCCCCCATGGGGCCAGCGCAGGCGAAATCACCAGCTCCCAGGACCTTTTGAGAGGCTTGAAAACCTCTCAAAAGGTCCTGGAAGGTCGCTATTTCGCCC